AGAGTCTCTTATGGCTTGTTTCCCTCTCTTTTTTTTTCTTTTCCCCCTGCCCATATGCTCATCTGTTTTGATTCTTAAATTCCATGTATGAATGAAATCCTATGGTATTTGTCTCTGACTTATTTCACTTAGCATAATACATTCTAGTTTCATCCACGTTGTTGCAAATGGCAAGATTTCATTTTCTGATGGCTGAGTAATATTCCCTTGTATGTATATACCACATTGTTTTTATCCATTCATCAGTCAATGGACATTTGGGTTCTATCCATAGTTTGGCTATTGTTGATAATGCTGCTATAAACATCGAGGTGCATATACCCCTTTGAATCTGTATTTTTGTAGCCTTTGTGTAAATGGCTGGTAGTGGAATTGCTGGATCGTAGGCTAGCTCTATTTTTAACTTTTGGAGGAAACTTCAAACTTCCACAGGGGCTTCACTAGTTTTCATTCCTACCAATAGTACAAGAGGATTCCCCTTTCTCTGTAGCCTCACCAACACCTGTTGTTTCTTGTGTTGTTAATATTAGTCATTCTGACAGGTGCACAAAATCTTTAATAAAACCTATGCTAAAGATCTGAGCTAATCTGAAGTTGGCTTTGCTTTTGGGGACAATGCAATAAGGTGCTAAGTGTTAATTCTGCACAATATGAATGGTGAGGAGAAAAGCTGTCCATGTGTTCCTGGGTTGCATAAGTGTGTTAGGGTTTAGAGAAAGTAACATGTTTGGAATAGGAAATTAGGTACAGTTGATAAGTTATTCATCAGAATTAATTACAGTTTGACATAGAGAAAGAGCCAAATTAGGATTGTAAAACATGTACTTATCACTGCAACAGGAACTGGTACCTTGCTACCTAAGCTGAATCGAATGGTAACAGTTCTCCAGGCATTTCTACCACAATATTCGAATTAAATACATTGGCCAAATAAAGTTAAAATTAAAAAAAAAAAGAATTGATATCTTACTAGGAAGGGTATCTGTCTGGGAATTAAAACCACCAAAAGATATCCTCCAGGAGTGCCTGGAAAGCCAGGGTCACAGTGAGCCTTGGTATGGATAGCTGATGCTGGGTACTAGAAAGGAAGGCCAGCCCTACAGTCTCTCCCTCCACCACCACCATCGTTCCCCCAATCCCACTAATGTGAGGAAGACAAGGAGGAAAGGTAGATGTACCTCCATCCACCTTTAAAGACGACCCAGAGGTATTACTTTTCTGTTGCTGTTAACGGCAAAGTACCACAAATTTAGTGGCTTAAACAATAACAATTTCTTATCTTACAGTTCGGAAGGTCATAGGTTTCACTGAGCTGAAATCAAGGTGTCAGCAGGGCTGCATTCCTTCTGTGGAGTCTCTAAGGGAGAATCAGTTCCCGTGGCTTTTTATGCTTCTCAAAGCTACCTGAATTCCTTGGCTCTGGGTCCCTTCCTCCATCTTCTAATCTCTCTTTGACTCTAACCCTCTCACTTCCCTCTTAAAAGGACTCTTGTATCAGAACCATCTAGATCATGCAGGATAATCTTGGCATTTCTAGCTCTTTAACTCAATCACACTTGCAAGGCCCCCTTTTGCCAGATAAGGTCACATATTCCAGGTTTCAGGCATTAGGATGTGTATTGATTTGAGGGACCACTCACTAATACTGTCTACCAAACCAATTACCTACTCACACCAGCCTGAGACACTTTATTTGGGATTATTTGCTATGCAGCAGTGGATAACTGGAACAGATTTATCAATTCCAGCTCAGTTCCTCTTGGCTGATGCAAACATCCATGATAAATCTACCCCACTGAAATTGTTCTCATGCAGAGGATGGTAGGGGTACCAGGGTCAAGACAACCTAGTGAATTGGGTTACCATGAGCTCCTTTAGAGAACACTTATTAGTGACTGATTGCCTGTCTCTCTTTCTCCATGACCCCTACTTCAAAATGAGAAAAATACCAGGGATAAATTCCTAGATAAGCACATTTTCCAAAATTGCTATTATATTAACTTTGCCAAGAGACACCTCAAGTTGGCATTATATTGGATGCTAATTTCTATGGATTGGTTGGTTACATATTGTCTTTTATACATGCTTGACTTTCCTGATCCTGTGTTACATTCTAGCTCCTTAACACCCTGCTCAAAATCTTTTCCATTGTTTTGTAAGACTCTTGTCAGCCAAATGCTAGGGATGCCCTTATTTTGTTTCTGCTTAATTTCTCTGCTTCTCATCACTGATGGAAACTATAAGCAACATTTAAGAATTTTGCTCCTATCTTTTTACAAACACCTGCTCTATCAGGTACATATGCTTCCCATCTGTTCTGATTTCTTGCTACTGCTTTAACAACTTTATAAAACACCTTAGGTGGCTTTTGAGTCCTACAAATAAACTTATTTCTGGAGCTTCTTTGGGACATAAGGATTTAAAACTGGATGTGATAAGGACACCTGAATGGCTCAGTGCCTTGGGCTCAGGTCATGATCCCGGATCCTGGGATGAAGTGCCACATCGGGCTCCCTTCAGGGAGCCTGCGTCTCCTTCTGCTTATGTGTCTGCCTCCCTCTCAGTGTCTCTCATGAATAAATAAAAACAAATTCTTAAAAAAAAGAAAACAACACTGGATGTGATAGGGGAACACTCCGTACATCTTGGTGACTGACTGGGTGGGAGAAAGGAGGGAAAGGCAGAAGGAGGAACAAATCTAAGAAATCTCAAAGCTCTGAAATTCAACAGACAAGAAGAACTGAAAGAGGAGCAAGCTTTGAATTGCTGATAACAACTTTGGTTTCAGACATGTTGACTTGGCAATGATGGTAAGATGATGGAATGGAAATAGTAAGGCTCATTGTAAAGAATTTGCACATCCAATGGTGAGACTAAGAGTGAAGGTATGTGATTTATTTTAACACTCAGGTTTCCCTCCAGTGGAAATATATGAGGAGAGAGTATTGAGTCTTGGCTTAGAAAAAGCTATAGAGGGCACCTGGGTGGCTCAGTCGGTTGAGCACCCAACTCTTGGTTTTGGCTCCTGTCATGATCTCTGGTTGTGAGATGGGACCCTGAGTCAGCCTCTGCACTCAGTGTAGGGTCTACTTGGGATTCTTTCTCTCTCTTCCTCTGCCTCTCCCCTGGTTCACATTCTCATATTCTCTCTCTCTCTCAAATAAGTAAACAAATCTTAAAAATTGCATTAAAGGAGCACCTGGGTGGTGCAGTCAGTTGAGCATCCCATTCTTGATTTCAGTTCAGGTCATGATCTCAGGTTGTGAGATCAAGCCCTGCATTGAGCTCTGCACTCAGCATGGAGTCTGCTTGAGATTCTCTCTCCCCCTCTCCCTCTGCTCCTACCCCATTCATGCATGCAAGTATATACAATCTCTCTCTCTCTCTCTCTCTGAATAAATATAAAATCTAAAAAATAAAAAAGAGCTTTAGAAGACAAGTCAAAGATGTATGAATGGGTACTCTCTGTACTGTAAATTCTTCACTCCTTCATTCATTCATGCATGTTTCATTCATTCTCACACTTGGATTTCTTCATTGAGCTCCTACATGCAGAAACTAGGCCTACAGCAGGTAGTATGCATATTTGGTGATAATTAAGTAAAACCTTCTGAATGAGCTGCTCCAAGTTGAGAACAAAGAGAGAAAAGAGAAAAATTTTCTTGTCAGTGTGCCAAGAAGCAGGCAATTATCAGTTGTTTCAGTAAATATTTGTTGAATGAGTGAGGCAAGGAGCACAGGAGACTTTTTCAGAAGTACCAGGCTATGCTAGGGCACTGAGAAGGGTGAGGTGTCCACAGAGGTAAAAATTCTGAAGGTGAACTTCAGAAGAAAGATAAGGGTGAAATATTACAAATGTGTTTTTCCAGGATTTGTTGGCTTCAGCAAGGAGCAAGAAATTGGAAATACTTCAGTGTTCTCATACAAGTTAAAATATAATCATTGCTCTTAACCACATTAGCCTTCTCTCTTTCCATTTTTTTCTTCTCCTCACTCCCTCTTTTCCTTCCTTCCTTCCTTAGGCCAACCAACAACTTAGTAACACATATTCATATAACAGTTAAGTTCAAGGAAGTTGCTGAATGAAAGCCAGAAAAGGGAATATGGTGGAACAATGATAATTACCTAGTGAACATGAGGAACATCTCCTCAAAAAACAAAGAAGTAAAATAAAACAAAATAACTAGTGGATGCCTTGTTAAAAAAAGAAAATCTTCTTTGGAACCAACTAATCAAACAGTGAAGAGCAGTATTCTTCTATTCAAAGGCAGGATCCTGGAGTCCAAGCCCTCACCCCCTTGGCTTCCCTTTCATCCATGCAGTGGCCTGAAAGACAATCCCGTGGCCATACCCATAGCTGAGTCAGGATCAAAGAAACCCCAGTTTGAAAATGCCTGCTTAGAAAAAAGGAAGTGATATGGTATAGCTTAGCATTGTTTATAGAAAGGAGGTTGTTAAACCTTGAACTCAAGTTATTGACTATCTGTTCTTTGAAATTGAAAAAGATGAGTCATCAAATGTCACACCTGACTCAACTATCTTGAGATTGCAAAATGATGGGAAAGATCTTAGGGAAAACAGTAGTGGGCCACCAACCAAGGCATAGAGCTCTGGCAGTGCCAGTGGGGAAGACACTTGCCTACTCATCTCACAGGGAACAGCAGAGTGTGCTCAGTTCAAAGAGGGTTGAAAACAGATTACCAGTAACTCTATAAGGGATTCCTGTCCAAATCTAGGAAGCTTATGTTTTATGAAGATACATAAAATGCTAAATCCTCAGAAATGAATAGATGAATTAAGAAGTGACAGTTTGTACTGTGAAAGGATTTGGAAGGCAAGGTTTTATGTTATTAAGATCAATGGTAAACACACAGTTTGACTAATCCTAACCCAGTCCTGCAAGAGCAAGTCCTGTTTTCTTGTTTGGCCCACAAAGAATGCAACGAGCCACGTCTTGCATAACAGGTACCGCTCAAACTTGTGGGGAAAGGCCAACTCACCTGCCATGCTGCTGATGTTTACCAGCCTGCCCTTCGATTTCCTAAGAAGAGGCAAAAATGCCTTTGTGACCTCCACAGCCCCGAAGAAGTTCACAGCCATGCATTTTTTGTAGTCGGTCATGGGAATGAGCTCTCCGTCGGCTGGTAAGCAAATGATCCCAGCATTGTTGACCACAGCCCACAATCCTGAGGACAGAAAGGAATGGCTTTGATAACCAGTGATGCTGAAGAGCAAGAGGATTTTTAACACTTGATCAAGCACTTTGAGATTTGGGATCTAGGCAGATCACTCAAACTCTTGGGCCTCAATTTCCTTGAATACTTAAAACTACTTTCTATAGGGGGGCTGAATGGAGAGTAAATTTGAAATGTTAAGCAGTGGGTCTTTGGAGATATTTTCTTTTCCTTAAAGCACTTTCCTGGACACAGCTAGATATTTGTTGTATCTGGGGACAGATGACACAGCAAGGGGGAGAGTATAAGAGCCTATGACATGTTTCTCCTTCAAAGGACTGTGTAGAGACAGTGTAATATCTTTAGGACCATGCAGGATGATATATGAGCCTGTCTTCCCTTTTCCCTAGAGTAGAAAAGATCCCCTAATCCAGAGAAATAGGAAAACTAGAGAGGTGCCAAGTAATAAGATTGCAGAGTCCCTGAGCCCTAGTCTAAACCCCAACCAGCCTAATCCATTTGATTACATCAGAATCACCAGAGGGCTTGTACAAACAGATAACTGGGCACCACCTCCAAAGAGTCTCATTTAGGGTGTTTGGGATGGGGCCTGAGAATCTACACTTCTACCAGGTTCCCAGGTGATGTTGATGCTGCAGGTCTGGACCACACTTGGAGAACCTCTGTCCACAAGTAGTGGTTTTCAATCTTGACTGCATGTAGAATCACTTGGGGGCTTTTTAACCCCACCCCCACCTCCCAAAGCCCAGCCACATCCCACCCAATTAGATCAGAAATTCTGGGGTAGAAGACAGAAGGGACCTTGACACTGAATTTAAAAATTCCCCAGGTGATTCTAATGTATAGGCAAGATTGGGAATCATGGCCCTAAATGGTGGGAAAGAGGTAATACAAAAACTCCAGATGTTTTTCAGGTGGCAGGATCTGTAGCAGAGGTGAGGTCCTCTTTACCTGACAGAGGTGACTGAATCTGGGGTATGGTTAGTTAGGCAAACCTGAAGCAGATTCTGAGTTCCCTGAGCCTCAGGTATGGTTTAGAACAATGATTCTCAAGATGTGATCCAGAACCAGCAGCATCAAATGGGAACTTATTAGAAATGCAAATTCTAGGAGTGGGTGACTCAGTCAGTTAAGTATCCAACTCTTGATTTTGGGTCAGGTCATGATCTCAGGGTCATGAGACTGAGCCCCACTTTGGGCTCCGTGCTGGGCATGGAGCCTGTTTAAGATTCTCTCTCTCTCCCTCTGCCCTTCCCCTTCTCTCTTGCACGTGTGCTCTCTGTCAAAAACAAACAAACAAAAAAAATGCAAGTTCTAGAACCCCACTTCAGACCTGTTGGATCAGAAACTGGTGATCAGAAATTGTTGCTGAAGCTCAGCATCTGTGATAGAACATGCTCTCCAAGTGACCCTGGTACACACTCCAGAGTGAGAACCTGTGGTATATACAGAAGCCGAATGAGCCTCAGTGCTAGCAGAGACACAAATGGCAGGAGGTCCAGCCTTTGATGGCATCAAAGAGGTGGGTGGGCCCCAAATTGCACAAGGACTGGACAGAGCATTGAACATCTCAGCAGGGGACAGCATGAAACACTGATGATCGAAGATGAAATGTCTCATCCTCAAGAATTTAGATGCTACCCTGGGGAAATGAGGTGAAGCTCAGACTGAAATGGTTTTTGCCACATGGCAGAAAGAGGGCTCAAAATAGAAACAGAGTTGAGTTGTAGAAAAATTACATTTCTCACACATACCTGAGCTGGTGGTCTGACATTTACACACAGTAATGACTGGGAGCATTAAGTTAGATAATAGCCTAGCTAAGAGCTAGTAAGAGCTCAACAATTAGTATGAGGATGGTGATGAGTGCAGAGTGCTCACATTTCCAAGTGAAGGTTTTCATTCAGTCAGCCTGATGCATACCTTTGACAGGCAACATGCAAGGCAGCAGTTTGAGGATGCACTAGAATGGAGATCAGCAAACTTTTTCTATGAAAGGTCAAATAGTGAATATTTTAGTTGCAGGCACTACTGTTTCAAATCTGCCGGCCATTATACTCTAAGAGCAGCCACAGTCTTCATCTGTAAATGAATGAAAATGGGAACAAAGCTCCAATAAAACTTGATTTTGGGACATTGACATTTGAATTCCATATAATTTTCACTTGTCAAAATAATATTCTTTTTCTGATTGTTTTAACCATTTAAAATTGCAAAAACCATCCTGAGCTCAAAGACTGAACAAAAATAGATGGCAGATCTATATAATGTTCTTTAAGTGACAGTGTTAGAGAGAGAACAGATTTGTGATTGCCAGGGATTAGGGATGGAAATATGACTCTAAAAACATAGCATGAAAAAAATAATAAAAATAAAAATAAAAATAAATAAAAAATAAAAACAGCATGAGAGGGGCACCTGGGTGGCTCAGTCAGTTGAGCATCTGACTCTTGATTTCAGTTCAGATTGAGATCTAGGAGTCATGAGATCGATCCCCACATTGGGCTGCCCCAGGTTTGGAGCCTGCTTAGGATTCTCTCTCTTCCTCTCCCTCTGCCCCTCCTCCATAACCCCCACTGCCTGCTGGCACTCTCTCTCTTAAAAAAAATTATAAAATAATAAATTAAAATTAAAAATGCAGCATGAGGGAGCTTGGTGGTGATGGAACAGTTCTGTATTTTGATTGTGGTTCTTTGCACAAAGTTACACACACACACTTGTATGTATAGGTGTTGAAATCTAAATAAGCTCTGAGGATTATACCAATGCCAGTTTCCTGGTTTTGACATTGTATTATGGTTATGCAAGATGTTAACATTGAGGGTGACTTGGCAAAGCATGAACAGGATCTCTCTGTACATTTATTGACAACTTCCTGTGAAACCACAATTCTTTTAAAATAAAATGTTAAAAAAAAAAAAAGAAACAGGCCATAGTTTGCCAGCCTCTGCTTAGAATTTAAGCAGGCCAATAAGCCCATTACGCCTATGGGACCTATTAAGTTTAAAGATAATTAACGTTACTTAATTATTAAAAATACGTTAATACTTATGTAATAATATGCTGCATGGGAACATAGAGCAGGGCCAGCCCTCTTACAGGATCTGGGGTTTTGTCGTTTGTCTACAGGTCCCAGAGGATTCTTTAGGACACATCCTTCTCAGTGATTTTAAACTCTTGTTTGACGGCTTTCCTTTCTGTTTGATTTGAGAGGCTGAGATTGAGAGAACTTCAAGGAAAGCAGACAGAAGGTGTATTGGCAATTTGTATTGGCAATCCTCAGAAGAGGATTGCTCTTCAGAATTCTGGCCATAAAACAGCATGGACTCACTCACTGGAAAGTTTTTTCACCACACCCTTACATCCCTGGCTGCTGACATGGTATTTCCATATCTAGAACCCATTGCTTTATCATTCAGTATGGCCAATGCTACCTCTCTGAGCCTCACCAGAGGGGTCTGTATTGAATATCTCCTTGAATAAGACACCATGAAGTCACACTCATAAGAGGGATAAGCATGAACCCAACAAGAGAGAAAGCAGAGCTAAGAAACAGAGACTGAGCCCTGATGACATTTTTTAAGGATCTAGACATGCCCAAAGCCAACAGGTGTCCTCGAGATGTGATCAGCAGCCAGAATGGACTAAAGGGTAGTGGTTAGGAAAGGTTGGAATCAGTATGGGTCATTTGCTAGGAGAGTAAGTGGCAATTGAGGTCATGGACAGATGAAGGCAATACCTCTGTCCTGCAACTTTTCCACCACTTTGCTGTGGGCGTCTTTTATCTGTTGCTGGTCGGTGATGTCCATCTGGAGCACAGAGAGGCGCTTGGAGCAAGTTCTTCGCAATTCCTCTGCTCCTGATCCCTTTTCATCCAGAACTCCCACAAATACCGTGAAGCCAAGCTCATCTAGATATTTAGACAGAGCATGACCAAATCCAGAATCGCCACCTGCAAGGGATTAAGACAATACAAAGTGGGTTCAAATCCAAGTGCCAGGAGAAATTACTTAATAAGGAAAACACTGATACTATGTATGATTGCCCATGTTTTCTGGAGAGAGTGGGACTTGAGGAAGTTTCTTTATCTGCTAAATGGGAAAATGGGCAGAGAAGCCAAAACGGACACACTTCTCTGTGTAAAAGAAGAAAAGAGGAAGGAGAATTACTGATGATGGGACAGTCTAGGAGTGGTTGGTGGCCAAAGAACTGAGGAGGGAGAGCTAAGGTAAGACATCTACTGGAAATTTTTCTATTAATCTCTGCTGTGTCATATTTGGTGTAACCTCCATCACTCCATAAAATCTTCAGTGACTCATTCATTACAAATTAATACTTTGGAGCTTGTTTTAGGTTTTAGAAATGTAATAAAATGTTAAGTCCCGTTTGGAGTGGACAAAAGTCATTAACAAGAAGCTTCCCAGTTCCTTCTAGGCTATGAAAGATGGTGTCTCATAGCCATCTGCACTTCTTACTTCCTTGGAACCTTTTCCCTCACAATGGCCTTCTCCCAAACCACTGAATAGACATCAATCTTAAAAAGAAGCTTGCAATAGAAACCAGATAGAAAGCCCTAAATGCATTGCTTAGTGTAAATAAGCAGATGACATAATATGTAAAATACCTCTCAGAATTTGAGATGAGAGTTTACCCAACCCAGTCTGCAGGATATTATGGACCTCGTAAAAATTGTTTTATACCAACAAGTACAAAAAATAGGTATCTGAAATTCTGAATGAAGCCAACATAGACCTAAAATCACCTGTTGAGCCATAGCAAAATAAACATGTAACAGTTAATATGCCTCTAAAGCTCTAAAGATGAGAAATCATCTTCTTTTTTAAAAAAAGATTTTTAAAGATGAGAGACACAGAGAGAGAGGCAAAGACATAGGCAAAGGGAGAAGGAAGCTCTCCACAAGGAGCCCAATGTGAGACTCGATCCCGAATCCCAGGATCATGCCCTGAGTCAAAGGCAGATGCTCAACCACTGAGCCACCCAGTGTCCTGAGAGAAATCATCTTCATATTGGCTGTGCCATGTGGTCTTTCCTGTAAACCTTGAGGGGTCTCTCTCTCTCTCTCTCTTTTTTTTAAGATTATTTGTTTATTTATTTGAGGGTGGGGGGAGAGAGAGAGTGAGAGCACTGGGCACCGGCAGGGGGAGAGGCAGAGGAAGAAACAGGCTCCCTCCTGAGTGAGGAGCTCGAAGGCACTGAGCCAAAGACACTGAGCCACCCAGGCACCCCAAGGCGTCTCTTTTATCAGCAGCCAGGGGCTATATATAGTCAGGTATCTATCTAAGAATTGGAAAATACAGGAAATCAGAGAGCACACTGACAATCAACTCAAGGATCAGTATGTAAGTGATCAGAAAAGACATTTGACTTCCAAGCTAATAAGACCTGTCTGCAATCTGAATGGAAGTGTTACTCTTCCTAAGAAGAGTATGATCACCATCAGAAGACAAAAGGACAAACTCAACACTATAAAATCAAACAATCTGATTTAAAAATGGGCAGAGGCACTGAATAGACATATTCCCAAAGAGGACATCCAGATGCCCAACAGACACATGAGAAGATGCTCAACATCACTCATCACCAGGGAAATGCAAATCAAAACCACAATGAGATACACCTTACACCAGTTAAAATGGCTAAAGTCAAAATGACAAAAAAATAACAATTATTAGCAAGGATATGGAGAATAAAGAACACTCATGCACTGTTGATGGAAATGCAAATTGGTGCAGCCACTATGGAAACAATATAGAGGTTCCTCAAAAGATTAAAAATAGGAATATCATATGATGCAATAACCCCACTATTGGGTATTTACCCAAAGAAAGCAAAAACACTACTTCGAAAAGATACATGCATCTCTATTTTATTACAGCATCGTTTATAACAGCCAAGAAATGGAAATAACCGAAGTATCTATCAGATGAATAGATAAGGAAAATATGTTTTACACATACAGGAATATGACTCAACCGTAAAAAAGAATGAGATCATGCCATTTGAGACAACATGGTTGGATCTACAGGGTTTTATGCTAAGTGAAATAAATTGGACAAATACCAATGATTCCATTGATAAATGAAGTCTAAAAGAGCAAATGAATAAACCAACAAAAAAAAAAGCCAGAATCAGACCTATAAATACAGAGAACAAACTGATGATTGTCAGAGGAGAGGGGGACAGGGGTTGGACAAATGGGTAAAGGGGAGATGGAGAGATAGACTTCTAGTTAGGAAATGAGGAAAAGCATAGCATAAAGAATACAGTCAACGATATTGTAATAGTCATGTAACAGGACAAATAGGAGCTACATTTGTGTTGAACATCATATAGTGTATAGCTCGTCAAATCACTAAGTAGTGCACCTAAACTAATGTAACACTGTGAACTATACTCGAATAAGAAAGAGAGAAAGAGAGAAAGAAAAGAAAGGTTAGAGAAACAGGCATTTACATGCATTGCTTATAAATGTGAAAGATTAAGTCGATGCCCATTTTCAATGTGCATATCTTTTGTCCAAAAAAGTCTCACTATCTGTCCCAGAGAACAAACACATATATTCAGAGATACACTAAGTGATGTTCTTTACAGCACTGTATATAATAACAAAAGAAATGACTAACCTAAATGTCCACGAATGGGAAAATGAGGACATAAATTATGGTCCCTATAATGGAACATGACAGCAATTTTAAAAGACGGGGTAGAACTATATAAACGAACACGGATTTTGCTCCAAGATATTTTGTCAAGCAAAATAAGTTACAGTATAACGCTCGTTAGATAGAATCCAATTTATGCCCTCCAAAGAGGGAGGGAGCTAATTCTATACCTGTCTGTGTAGGAATGTAAAAAAAAAAAAAAAAAAGAATTTGAAAGGAAAGACACCAAAATGGTAACAGTAGTTGCCCTTAGAGGGAGAGGCAGGATGGAAGAGGTCTGATTTTTAATGTCTTCCATTTTGCTATAAGAAAGTACTTATTTTTGGATAATTTCTCTTGTTTTTTAAGATTTATTGAGAGAGAGAGAGAGAGAGAGAGAGAGAGAGAGACAGCACACACAAGCTGCGGGGAGGGAGGGGCAAAGGGAGAGAGAATCCTGAAGCAGATGCCCTTTTGAGTGGGGAGCCAAGGTGGGGCTTGATCCTAGAACCCTGAGGTCATGACATGAGCTGAAATTACCATTTAACCGACTGAACTACCCAGGCACCCCTAATTTCTCTTCTTTTAAAGATCATTCCAATTAGAATGAAGATTAGCCAGCCCTGTAAGTGTAGGAAAAGGTGCAACAGAGAATGCTACATGGCTGGTGTGTTCAAACACTGCCCGAGAGAGAGTGGCAGCCTTAAAGAAAATGTGGGCACTCTTGTTCCTTCTGTTGTAAGATTCCCCCGTAGTTTGCTCTGTTGTGGATCTGGACTGAGCAGCGCCACCGCATCACATCCCACGTGTGGGGTCCAGCATAGTCTCTCCTGACCAGGCCGGGTCTGGCACATCTCACCTGGGCCTGTCTCCTGAATGCACTAGGTCCTTATCATCATTTGGGGGAAGACTGTATATTTTTTTTCATTTGGCTTTTACCGTTTCTGGCTTTTATTCTCAATATATTTTTGCTAAACTTGTTTCACAAATTTAAAAAAAAGAATTTCATAGTAGGCATCCCTACTATGAAATGAAGGCATCTAGTTGCCATAATTGATTGCATTTAACTTCCTAAAAGTTATAGTTGACACTATGTTACATTAGTTTCAGGTGCATAATATAGTGATTCCACATGTCTATACATTATGCTATATTCACCAACTACCATCTGTCCCCATAATAACACTGTTATAATACCACTGACTATACTCCCTATGCTGTTCCTTTCATCCCCATGGACTTAGTCACTGCATAACTGGAAGAAGCTTGTACCACTCCCCTTCACCCATTTTGCCCAGCTCCTAGCCGTTCCCCTCAGGAAACTACCACTTTTCTTCTTTGCATTTTTGTATCTGTTTTTGGTGTTTTGTTTGTTTGTTTTGTTTTTTTAGATTCCACATATAAGTAGAATCATATGGTCTTTGTCTTTGACTATCTGATTTATTTCACTTAGCATGATACCCTCTAGGTCTATCCATGCTCTTGCAAATGGCAAACTTTCACTCCTTTTTATGGCTGCATAATATTCCAGCATGCATGGGGGGGTGGATGTACCAATCTTCTTTATCCATTCTGATATTAATGGATAATGGTTGCTTCCATGTGTTGGCTGCTATAAATAATGCTGATTGCATTTCATTTTTGCTCCATCTCCTTCCTCCTCATATATCCACGTGCATCTATGCTCAGGGAACTGGCCTCTGTGTATGCATGGTTCACGACCTGGGCCTGGCCAGAGGAAGAGACAGTAGCATTTAAAGCACACACAAGTATCTGGGCCATATGACAAATCTCAGCCTGTTAGCATGTTAGAATTGTGGGTCTTCTAAAATATAATAATATGCTTGTACAACGGTTTTGAGAGTCCAGTGAATGTGGCTTTGCCCTGTAGAAATAGATCTACAGCTGAACAAATTCAACTTCTGAGTCTACAGTGGTGAGGCCAGATCCTAGACAGGAGCAAGATCATGAGACAGTAGGTGCAATGTGTGCAACCCTTTTCTGGAAACCCCATATGTCACTGGTGATCAGTACTGTCTTGCAAAATTATTCTCCAAATGTCAACAGTCAAGATTTTCTTTCCCATTTACACATGGGAAACCTGAAAAGGAGAGATACTAGTGTCATAGAGATAGTAGGAATGGACTTTGACTCTTTGCCAGAGCCTAAATCCAAGTCCATGCCTCTTCATCATCTTGGACCAGCCACCTTCTCCTTTATCTGTATAAGTAGAGAGGGGAAGTATGGGGAAGCCAACTCCAGAATGGTCCTCTTGTGGCCCAGCAAGGAC